CAGATCACACTGCATCCACAGTCCGAAAGTGTGAGCTCAGATCACACTGCATCCACAGTCTAGAAGTGTGAACTCAGATCACACTACCTCCACAGCCCGGAAGTGTGAACTCAGATCACACTGCATCCACAATCCAGAAGTGTGAGCCTAGGTCACATCACATCCACAGTCCAGAAGTGTGAGCCTAGGTCACATTATAGCCACAGTCCAGAAGTGTGAGCCTAGGTCACATCACATCCACAGTCCAGAAGTATGAGCCTAGGTCACATTTTATCCGCAGTCCAGAAGTGTGAGCCTAGGTCATATCGCATCCACAGTCCAGAAGCATGAGTCTAGCTCTTCACTCGGTTCAGGACCAGTGCTAAAAACTGTGCCTCTCACGTTCAGGACAGGCATTCCTACCTCAGTTAACCCAAACTTAAGGGCCAGCCTAAGCTAGACAGTCCCTCACTGAGACTCCCTGCCCTGGTGAGTCCAGATTGTGTCAAGTTGACAGTTAACTCTATAACACCCACCAACACCTTGACTCTGGACATTGACCCTCCAGACTGTGAAACCAAGCATTGCCGTTGTTAAAGTGATATAGTCATGGCAATTTACTATGGCTGTGCTATCAAATGAATACACTCAAGTAAGCCACTTGTGTGGGAGTGCAGATACTTTCTAGGTAAACATTTATTTTTATTTGTTGTGTTTGGGTGTTTTGCCTGCATGTATGTCTGTGTACCATGTATGTACTGTGTACTGTCTGCAGAGGCCAGAAGAGGGCGCTGGATCCCCTGGAACTGGAGTTAGAGATGGTCGTGAGCTGCCATGTGGGTGCTGGGAGCTGAATCCCTCATCCTCAGAGCCATCTCTCCAGCTCCTCTAAACTGTCCTCTTTAATATTTATGTCCCCAGACCTCTAAATGCAAATTTCCTTTGATTTGATAGCCATTGTCTCTAAGCCATCTTTCCTTCAACTTTTTATACAGGTAGTGAAAGTGTGGGACTTTGAGACAGGAAGACAGGTGTCTGAATTTATTGGGACTCATGGCAATGCCGGTGTCACCTGCCTGACCTTTGACTCCAGCGGAAGAAGGTACACCCTTCCTCCAGCGTCATGAACCTTTCAGCAGGGTGGCCTGGGTCATGTCACCCTGGCGGGACAATCTGTTTCCTAGGCTCGTGACTGGGGGCAGAGACGGCTGCCTGAAGATATGGAGCTACAACAGCGGACATTGTCTCCACACGCTTCGGCACGGCAAGTGAGGGTGGGCAACTCCAGCGATGCTCCCCGTGACGCACTGATGCATGACAGGGCATTGACCCAGTGAGACAGAGCCTACGACGTGTGGGACATCTCCACATCCCCTTCTCTCTATTCCACGTTCTTTAATGTTTCTGAGCTTGCATTTCATGGGGACACAATCACAGAAATTAAACGCCAGCCTCTTACATATTTCCTGAACCAGCCCAAGGCTACTCCTTCATTCATATGCTATGTCTATTCTTGGTTTAAAAAAAAAATCCCTGATTCTGGCCTGTAAAATGCTAATAGAGCACATAAGATACACATTCTTCAAGTATTAAAGAGGAATAAATAAAGTCAAGGTGAAAGAAGTGAAGCGAAATTGAAGAGCCCCATTCCTGAATCTGCTTTGACCTCCACATGACCATCTGCCTAGTCACTCACCCAGTGTCAGGTGCAATTGGGTCGGATCAGGAGAACCTCTTCTGTAGGCAATCAGGGCAGAATCAGACAGGGAAGGTGACCACAAGTGAATGGCACTCTAATGATCAGGAGACACTTGACCCTGTGCTGAAAACCAGAAAGTAGATGACAAAGAGTCTCTTCTGGTCACTGGGCAGATGAGGACAGTGTACGAAAGCTGAATCAAGCAAGAGTTAATCCAGAAAAATGATTGACTAAGATGATAATGTATTTCTAGATGAAAACCGAAGTGAGGTCTGTGATTGTACCTACATGGAGGTGAATCAAAACAGGTGAGTTTCATATATAACGCTGAGTTATATTTAAATGGAAAAAAATTTCCCTATCCTAGTTGGGGGAAAAAAATTAGTTGTGTTAGTTAGCTTTTCATTACTGTGAAAAAAAAATACTCCTATCAGGACAACTCAGAAGAGAAAAAAAGCCAGACACAAGGCAAACCCCAGTGGGCCACTTCCTCCAACGAAGACCCACCTCTTTTTTTTTTTTTTTCTTTTTTAAAGACTTATTTATCATGCATGTGTATGCATGCCTGCATGAGTTTATATGTACCTCGTGTGTGCAGGTGTCCGTGGAAGTCAGAGGGCATAAGACAGATGCCCTGGAACTGGAGCTGCGGACAGTTGGGACCCACCTGACAGCAGTGCTGGGAACCAAAACTGGGTCCTCTGCAAGGACGCTCAGTGCTCTTCACTGTGAGGACCACTGAGTGATGGGCAGGGTGTGGTGGCCCCTGTGTGAGCCCAGAGGCTCAGCAGTTAAGAGCACAGACTGTTCTTGCCGAGGACCCAGTTCTGGGCTCCATGGGCACCAGAGATACATGTGGTGTACATACGTAGATGCAGGCATAACACCCCATATCCCTAAAATAAACAATAATAGAAGTAATGAAATTTTTTAAAATTCAAAGTAACAAATCAGAGAGTGGAGCAAATAAATTCAACCACCATAAATCAAAGAATAAAAACACAGTAATTCCTTCCTGAACACTAAGACAGTGAGACAATCCTTGGGCCATGTCTGTGACTAGCCTTGCCTGGGGTCAGGGGTCATGTCAGACATGCTCTAAAGATCAAGTCATTCCCAGAAACTCAGCTGCTCACAGGGAGTCTATAGACCTCAGAAATTACGGGATGGCCTGCTTCTGGGTCCTGATGCTTAACAACCGACCCTGATTTATCAAATTGCATTTCCCATTGTTCTCCATAAGCACTGGAAAAAGCTTCTATCTTTTCATTGATCGTGTGGATAGGGCAGAGTTAAACCACCAAGTTAATTCTATATAAAAGCAAACAAACAGAAGTTGAAGTGTTAAAATGTAACATTTGTTCTTGTCTTAGGTGTGTCATAGCTGTTGGATGGGACAGAAGAATAAATGTATATTTTGTAAGTAAAATGCAACAAATGAAGACATTTCAAAAGCCGTCCTCTCCAGTTGGCCCTCCTCTCGGGTTGACCCTCCTCCCTCCCTCTCATTTTTTTTTTTTTGTGTGTGTGTGTGTTTTTTTTAATTATGTGTGGGTGTGTCCATATGTGGATATATGCATGTGAGTGCAGGTATCCACAGAGGCCAGAGGCATTGGCTCCCCAGAGCTGGAGTTAGAGACAGTTGTGAGTTGCCTGGCTTGGGTGCTGAGAACCGACCTCAGGCCCTCTGGAAGAGCAGCCAGTGAGTGCTCTTAACACTCTTAACCTCTGAGCCGTCCCTCCAGCGCCCTGCCTCTCCTTTAAGAGTAGATAAGCGCAGGCCTGTAATCCCAGCACTCGGGAGGCAGAGGCAGGTGGATCTCTGTGAGTTCGAGGCCAGCCTGGTCTACAGAGCTAGTCCAGGACATGCTCCAAAGCTACAGAGAAACCCTGTCTTGGAAACCCCCGCCGCCCCCCAAAAAAAAGAGTGGATTTGAGCATGCTTTTGTGACACACACAGGATTCCCTCTTTATTTCTCCTTATCCTTTCCTCCCTTCATTTCTTTTGAAAGATCCCCTCCCTACCCTTCCCCCACCCCCTCCCCACCCC